GAGCCCAGGCGCTGGCCGCATCCTGCCGGTGCCAAGGATGCAAAGCCCTGTGCGAGGCTGGCCCTGGGCAGGCAGGGCTCCCACTATCCCCAGTATATGTCCTGGGTGATGCCAGCCTCTGTGGGGTGCTCCCCACTGTTGTGGAACGGTGTTTGGCGCACACAGATGGTGAGGCCAGGGAGAGACCCTGTGCTCCATGTCCCCTGTCCTGTGTCCCCTGTCCCATGTCCCCTCGCTGCGCCCAGGGTGCCTGTCTGCTGCAGGAGAGGGGGTGCTGTCCCTGTCCCCATCCCTGTCTCCCCCTTCCTCCAGGCTTCATCCTGCGCCCACGAGGACATTGAACTGCCAGGACCACCACCATAAGACCAAGACCCTCAAGGCTTTTGCCACCCACCACACGTTTAAAACCAAGATCCAGGTCCATATTTTCTGCTTCTGCAGCTCCACTAAGCCAGGCTTGCAGGGGCCAGTGGGTCCCTGGAGCATCCCTTGCCCTGTCCACATGCTGCCTCCATGTCCCCCCCATGGTGGGAACCGTCCTGGCCGTCCCCCCCCCCCAGCCACATCCCTTGTGTTTCTGCGGGTGCAGATCCTCAAGCTGCGCTTGTCCTGGAAGGAAAGTTTCCTGCAGAACATCCTCAGCTGCTCGGTACAGCCTGTGGCCCCCCATGGTGCAGAGCCATTGTGGGGTGCCCGGCCCCTCAGGGTGATGGGGAACAGTGTTGTGGGTACCTGGTGCTCATCCTGTCCATGGGGATAGAAACACGCAGGGTGAAGGCAGCACCGGAGAAGCCAAGAACCACCCCCTCCGGTGACCCCTTCGCCTCCTGGTGTGACTTTTTCTGGGACCTGGCCCTGCTGCCCCTGTCCTGCATTGGAGGGACATGTCAAGCGAAAACACCGGCTCGCAGCTCGGCGGAAGATGCTCTTTACTTAAACCCCCCCTTGCAGCCAGGGCAGCGTGGGCAGGTCTGGAGAGGGGAGGGGAAGGTAGGGCGGCAGGGGCAGCACGGGGGGGACACCGGGGGTGTCTCTTCTTTCACCACAACCTGGAGCCCCTGGGGTCCTTGCAGGTGCCAAAGTCGCTGTTGGTGATGGAGCCCACGATGGTCTTATCAACGTCGCAGGTCAAGCCGCTTTCGCAGGGACACTTGTAGTACACCCCATAGATGCTCTGCAGGGAACCAAGGCACAGTGCAGTGCAGGGGACATATCCCTGTCCCCATCCCCCCCCGGAAGCACATACCTTCGGGGAGCACTCCTGGAACTCGGCCGCCTTCGGCACACACCGCGCCAGGCTCAGGCCGCCGTCCCGGTGGCAGCAGCCGTCTCTTGCACTGGGCGCTCTGCAGGCACAGCTCCCCGGTGTCCTGTGCCACGAAGCAGGGCATGAGCACCCTCTCTGTCCCACCTTAATCCCCCCCCCAGCCGTGGGCCTGAGGGGTTTGGGTGGGTGGCAGACACCAGCTCTGCCTTTCAGCTGGGGCTCAGCACCCATTCCAGCACACCCGAGCCTCCTGACCTGCAGCATTTCCTTGGTCTGGCCCAAAATACCACCTGCTGAAGTGCTGTTTTCTGCCTGGCTCATGGGAACAGGGCTGAGACACCACAGGGAAAGCATCCTCCCTCCCCATTCCTTGCAAGCCCCCAAGGAGGGGGTCCTCACTGTTGCAAGCAGCTGAGAGCTTCAATCCCATCCACTTATATAGGCTCCCCTGTCCCTTTCACAGCTGCTTTTTTGGGCTCTGAGATCCCTCACGTCCCCGGAAAACCCAGCATGTCATCCCTGTCTGCCTCAGTTTCCTCAGCTGCAAATCAGTTCTGCTCTCGGTGGCTGCAGCTGACACCCCAGGACACCCCCGCGTAGCTGCTGCCAGACACCAAAGCACCACAGACCCCTCCAACACCCCAATGCACCATGCACCCCATTGCAGCACTCAGGGTATCCCCCGGCTGTGGCAAGGACTGGGTTAGCGTCCCTCTTACCAAGTTGAAGATGAGCCCTCGCTTGTGCGGCGCAGGCAGGACCGGGGCCAGGAGCAGCAGGACCAGGAGCAGGCAGGGGGGCAGCGTGTTGGCCATGATGGGCTCGCTCGTGCCTCTGCCGTGGGGCCGCCAGGCGCTTTATAGCAGGCGTCTCCATCAGCTGATGCGGCTGCTCCTATCACACCCCAACTCGTGGCATTGGGGCAGCGCCATGACACCCTGCCCGGGGCAGGAAAACAGCGATGCCAGTGCTGCCAGGCAGTGCCACAATGGGGACATCTTGCCCTGTCCCCAGATGACTGTCCCACACCAGCAATGCCAGCCTGCCCTTTGGCAGCTCCATTGGCCAAAGTGAACACGAACGGCACTCCTGTGATTCTCCTGGGGAGGGTTTCCAGTCCTCCTCCCTCTCCTTCACCCTGACCTCCAGGGAGTGTGGACCTGCGTTTCTCCAGGATGCCTTCCTTGCTGGGCATTGCTGATGGGTTCGTGAGCAAAGCAAGAGCCGGCGCCACAGCAGGAGCTCCGCTCCGTGGGAAAGCACCCACCCACAGATCCTCCATCGCTCGAATGTTATGATTGCAGATGCCAAGAAACCCACTCCAGAAAGCCCAAAGCGTGGCAGGAGTGAGCCCACTCCCCTGCCAGCGTCCTACCAGCCTCGCTTGGTGCTCCGGAGCCCACCGAGGTCCTTAGCCCATGGACCACCACCGGACCCTGCCCTGCCAGGTATTTGCTCTGTGTTTCAGCGCTTGGGGGATGTGGCTGATGAAAGGAAACCAGCCCTGGGAACAGTACAGCTTTTCGCACCCGTGTTGGCCCAGCTACTCTCAGCAATGATTAACATCTGGGCAGCCCTGGCCTTCGGTGGCAGCAAGGGTGACACTGAGGCTGGCGCTAGCTGCTGGGTGGCCGTCACGTTGGCATGTGTCATCTGGGCCCTGCAGCAGCAGCTGAGCCTTTGCCACGCCTCGGGATGCAGGACAGCTACGAATCCTGGAGAAAGGTCCCAAGGTGGCCACAAGTGCCCACAGTTCATTGGGGCAGGCTCTGGGGCTGCCCGCACTGCTCTGGCAGCAGGATGTAGGG